TTGAAAATTATAAGAAGTATTCAACCAAAGATACTAATTATGTTGCTGAAGAATTATGCAAATATTCAGACTCAATTACTTAAGTGTACATGTGCATGTCTGCGAAGCTGTGATTGGGGAGGGGATTTTGGTGATATCTGTGCTCGTAGTCCTTGATGACATTTGCAACACTTCTCAGAGAGCTGGGTAAATTTGATAAAGTATCAGGTAAAATGAGTAATCACGAATATATTGGATGATGAAATGAAATGAAATATTGCATGTTGATTGGAGGCGGACCAGTGACAAGTGCAACTGATTGCAGAGCCCAGTGTTGTCTACAGTTTGTGGAAACAGTTTCAGGACACTGGATTCATATCAAAACGATGTGAGTAAGGTCAACCAAGATTCACAACGATGAATGAGGATCATTATTTGGTACATTTCAGTGTGGTGACACACAACTGTTATAGCTTTATGGCTCTTATGTGAGATGTATGCTGCCGCTAGAACCTGAGTTTCATTGTCTACAGTTGCTCGAAGTCTTCATGAGATAGGATTGTATGCAAGAAGACCCACTGTTTGTGTCCTGCTCACTACAGCACACAATAGAGCATGTTTAGCATGGACTAGACTTCAGTAAACTTCGTCCTTTTTATGAATGAGTCAAGATTAAACCTGGATACTTGATTCTCAGCATACCTATTCTGGAGAGAGCCTGGAACACAATCTTAACATTATCCCTCCCTCATCAGGGAAAAGGTCATTACGGTAGTGGAGGTATAATGGTTTGGGCAAGCATTAAGTTAAATGGCCACACACCCCCTGCATGTGCTTGACAAAGCTTCAGAGGCGCAGTTGGTTCTGGGTTCCTGTTAAAGGATAATAATGCTCATCCTCATGGGCTCAGGTGGTCAACAATTACCTGAAAAGTGAGGATATTCACTGCATGGATTGGCCAGCCAAATCTCCTGATTTTAACCCTACACAGCTTGTCTAGGATGCTTTTAGAATTATAATTTCATTTTGCCATCACCCTCTGAGAACCATCTCAAAACTTTCTTGCTGCAGGAGTGGGATCAACTGCCTTCTGTCAAGTATGCGGTCACACTGTGTGACCTATATGGCTGTGAGAGGGGACCATACCCCATATTAGACTCATTTCCTGTTTGATATCACAATGAAGATTTTAGACACCCATGCTTTGTTGATAATCACGATGAGCTTTACTGATAATCATGATTACATAAAATGACCTTTGAATGGTGCATCTCTTTTTCTGTTATGAATGTTTTATTCATACCATATTTCATTAAAATCTACTATTAATTTTTCATAAAATTTGACATAAGATGGAAATTTTCTTAATTTTGCACATGATTATATATACAGTTCAAAGTCCAAGATCCGTTCTCATAGGTATTTGGGCGACTCTGGAATTTTAGATCATCAGTTTAAATTTAATAAGATTACGTGTAGAAATTTGAAAATAAAAAATGTGAAATGTTGTTTAAAAAATAATGAAGCGATAAGGGAATCAAAATTTACATCAAAACAACAACAGCAATAAATAAATAAATAAATAAAATGTTGATATTTGTTTGTTTCATTAAACATTTCTTCATTGTAATTAGTTTGCACAGTTTCACATTTTTCTTTAAAACTGAAGTAAATTTTCATAATTTGAAATTAGCAAAGATATAAAGAAGCCACTATTCTATTCCTTCCAGAGTTATGCTGCACAAATAATATGACCTGAATGAAATTTAAATATGAGTGGAATGTGAAATGGCTATATTTTTTGCTAATATCCTTTGGTTGACTAAGGGATTTACAGTTTTTGAGGAAAGAGTAAAAGAGATATGTTATCCTGTAGTAAAACTTTAATTTTGATAAGATAAGAGTAATAATAATAAACTGAACAATATAAATAGCTGAATGAGAAAGGCAGAATTGTGGCTGAACTTAGGTTAATCGAGATCTAGTTCTTTCTCCCTTTTTTTTGTGGCAACAAATGAAATGTATGTGTAAAAAGTATGTGACATACTACTCCTAACATCGTTTTTTTTTTTTTTTTTTTTTTTTTTTTTTTTTTTTTTTTTTTTTGATTTCACTTACTGCATCTAGGAATAATAAGATAGACAAATGGAGAATCCCTCCTCCACACACAATCACTTAAGAGCTGAAAATGATAATGTGGCTTGTTAGCCAGCAGGCAAAATAATATGCAGGATCATTCATTACTGCCATGGATAATGATGATTTTAGACAAAAGAAATATCTCTGAGTATCATATTCTTCATTCCAAAAATGTAGGAGAAAATAGATATTAAAAAAAGAAAATCTGGCATGATCAGTACATTACTTTCCATTTCAAGTAAATGTAATTGGACTTTAAGTAAACTTTCATTCATTGTTGGTTGCCTGTAAATAAATTCTAATTCTTATGTAAACTTTCTGGCTCAATATTAATTATAAACTCTATTCATTTTTTATTATTCTTTTCTCCAATTCAATGGAAAATGATAATTATATGTGCTCATGTACAAATCTGTTCTCATGCTTTGATTTGAAAATATCGTATAATCAATATATGATTTGAAAATATCTTTTATCATCTGCTCATGTAGTCTTTTGGTTTCACAAAGCAATGACTTATCAATCATAAAATTTTTAAAACCAGCATTTCTTTAGAATTCCAATTAGAGTGCTAGGTGTTGCCATACATTTTTTCAGTCTTTTCTTAGTTTATGATATCAGTGTTTTGTTTTCATAATAAGATGACCATCTTTTTTTATTTATCATTTAAGGTGTTTCGGACCAGTATTCCAGAGGTCCGTGGTTCGATTCCCGGCGAAGGCGGTTGCTAATTTTTCATCTCTCCGACCTCCAAAAAAATCCTAATGTCTCTACAGTGGCGCCCAAACTAAAAGGGTGTTGGATGAGGATTCTCCGCACCCAGGCTTTGTCGATTAGTTCCCCTAAAAATCCCACTCACCCTTTAAAAAGAAGGGTATATAAGGTGTTTCCCACCTTCTTAGCATTCCTTCGTGGTGTAGTGGTCTGCACGCTGGGCACGTATTTCAGAGGTCCGTGGTTCGATTCCCGGCGAAGGCATTGCTCATTTTTCATATCTCCTGTTTCCAAAAGTACATAATATCTCTACAATCATTTTAACTTCATTTATTAAACATCACTTTCTATGCACTTATACCACATACAATTTAACAACAAAATTACAAAATCATTATAATCATATCTGTAGAATTCCGAATAAAATATTAATAGTTGACATACATTTTTTATGTTCACTATATTGTTTAAATTTCCTATGTTATTTCTTTAAAAAATAATACATAGTGATAATATTGATGGTAGCATCATTTTATTTGAAAAGTGATTCAACACAAAAATTGAAAAAGAAAGGGCTGATACATTTAACTGCTTTATAAACAAGAGCTGAATGGGAATTTAGAAAGCTTAAATATAGAAAATAGAAATTTTTGTAAATTTGATATAGGAGTTATTGGGGATGAAAATTATCCCTTACAGACAGACATAAGTGTAAAAATAGCAAAAAGGTGTTATGGGAATCCTAATGCATGATTATTTACTGAAAAGTTGGTATCAAATTTGGGGGCTGAAAACATTACCTCCTTTTCTTGTGTATTGATAGGAGGAGAAAATTCTTTTGGAAGATCTGAATAATAGATCATTCCTGTTGTTGGACATCTGTATTTCAGACTTTTTACTATATGTACACCCACATACACATGTACATGCATATATAAGCAGTGATTTCTTAAGGTGTATTTATTACATTGCATGCTGAGACAGAAATGTGTTATTTCACCAAACAAACAGGCAAAGGAAATGTCTTTAGGATAAGTGCACTCTTCAGCCACTTATTTGGAAAAATCAAAGGTCGTAGCATGATTAGCTGAAATAATCATGGCTAATACTTTTCAACTGCGAAGAAGTTGTGTACATGATGTTTTTAGAAATGAGTGCGCACAATAGTGCTGTTTCTCACTGAAGACTTTGTGTAGAGCCAACGACAAATAAGAAGTGTAGAAAACTAATCAGAGGTATTATTTTCATTTATTGTAGTTCTATTTCACATCAGGTGAACACAAGTTTTCCTTTAGAGTTTTGAAAGGAAAATTTGGTATTTTGTAGTAGAGTAGTATCTCCTTGGTAGTATGGAATTAACAATCCAGGTGTTGCACCCTGCTATTTCATGTACTTGGCCAAATATCTCCGTGGGCAATGATTTTCTAATTGAATAAACGCAAGAAATGGTTCTGCAGTGGCTTAATGACCAAGGAGGATCATTCTGTAATCAGGAAAGCAAATGTTTAGTTGTATATAGAGAGAGACAAGTGTTTACACCGACTGAGTGGTTATGTTGAAAAATAGTGTGAAGTTTCTTAACATAGTATGTATAATCTAATATAACTTAAATTTTGAATTTTCCTCATGTAAACATATTTAATTTTCAAGTAGTAAATTATTAGGAATATTGAAAGATACTTGCAATAACTTCTAATGGGTTTTAAAAATTATGTAATTGCAAATTAATGGCAAATGAGGATACTGAAGTATATGCACTTATTTTCAGAACATTCAGATTATAAAAAATTCTTTAAATTATGCTGCTAAGTATTTAGGAGGTTTATTTTAAAATCGGTTTATTGGTAGGTGCATGCTTAAAAAATTCTTAATTTTGTTTTTGAAATATGGTTTTTAAAAATTTGATTTTTAATTGATTTTTTATGAAAATTTTGAAATTTGAATTTTTATGCATCTGCTAAAAATACAAATAAAATGTTTTATGAAGATAGGTGTTAAAATAATTTTTGAAAGTTAATTTAACATTTTTTTGGTTACTGCTCATTATGTGTTCATGTTCATAAACTAAATTATCATTTTGAATAATCAGCTTATTTTGCATAAAATTACCACTCATTTATTTTTAGCTGTATTTCATATTATTAAAAACTTTTGTTAAAACATTTCTTTCAGGTCCCAAACCTACTGTTGATTGCAGCTTTGTTACAGAATTTGATGACCATATTTTCGTGGCAGTAGATGCTGAAGCATTTTTCTTTTTGCATGATCTTATCACATCATACATAAAAGAAAAAGAAAGTATGTATATTTTGATAATAATTACACTATTTTTCTTCATTTATTTTTTTTATATTTCATATTTTAGTTTGTTAAATTCTTTGCCATGTTTAATATCTTTTAAAAAAGTCATGGGGAAGGGGAATGTGCAGAGCATTTTAAGTTATGTAATTTTATGTTCCTGATTTCATTTTGATATAATATTCAGAATCACATTCATTTGATATATTTTATTCAGGATTGTTATTTTTAACTTCTTTGCTACTGTCAAGTTTCTCTTTTACATTTCTTATTCATTTGTTGTTCTATTTTCATTCTTAATGCATACCTATCCTTCTTTTGAAAAGATACACAAAGAAGGACACATCCACTTCTATTGAATTTGTGAGATGTGTTGGCCATAGCAGAGTACTAAAGTAGTTTTCATGTTCTAGAGTAACTATTTAACAGTGTAGCATGTATGATGTGATATCCGAAGATTTATTTAGATATAGTTATGGGATTCACACATAAACTTTGCTGAAGGAATCCTGCTTTACCTAGTGAAAGGACAGTGAATAGGTTTTTCACCTTTGATTGAAAATGATTTCCATATGGCAAATTATAATTTTCTGTTGAGCTATTTTTACTTATTGTAGATGAAATCAGTGATAAGAGCTTAGAATATTTTAAAGTTTTGGTTAGTTGAGATGATATGAGATCACAAACATGAGGGATTCCAATGACCCCATCAAGTATATGAACAAGTGAGAAAAATATATGGTGCTCACGGCTGTGAGTGATTATACTTCCTTAGCAAACACTTTGTGTGGTATGAAATCTTATTATAGTTATGTGAGCTTTAAACAGATTAACGTTTTGGTGAGTTTAGGAAAGGTGAGGTCACCAATATGAGGGATTGCATTGGCTTACCTTGCAAATGAACAATAAGGAAGATATCTGCTATTTTAGTCTATAAGTGATAATATAGCTCCATCAAAACCTTATCTTGACAGCTGAGGTCTCTTACATAGCTAGTATCTCTATTATAGTGAGATGTTACGTGCAGCCTTGCATCATCATTTCTAGCTAACCATTTCTTTGATCATGGCTGACTGATGTGCAAGCACATGTGATTATATTTGTGCCAAAAATGTTATTGACTGAGTTGTTGGCATCAAAAATGTTAAGTTGGATGCTGTTGGATAAGAAGTTGGTGTCCATTGTCCTTTTAACCTTTTCGCGACGGCGCACCTTTGTTTAAGACGCTCGTGCGGGACGGAAGGGAATCGAAAGCAGTCACCATACAGGACGGAAGTTTTGCATCGCTAAGCCTAATTTTATAAAAAAAAAAAAAATCAGAAAAAATTAGTTTCGCTTCTAGCATCATAATTTTTTGTATCTTTTTAGATTATTACTTGAGCTCTTATATATGTTAAAATTAGCACTTAATAAGATTTTTTTTCTTTATTTTACATGAAAATATACTTAAAAAATTGCTTATCCTGTAAAATAATTTTTGGAAGCGCTATTCAAATTATTCCAAAGTTTTAATTGATAAAATCCATCAATAAAGTTTTAAATTAATGAAACAACGCAATAAAGACTATTAACAGAAAGAAATAACAAAATGTAAAATAAAGACTGTGGTAAATCTCGAAGCACGGAGAAGTATCACTTTCTAACTCTTAGAAAAAGTATCACTGTCTAACTCTTTAGAAAATGAATCATCACTCTCATCTGCATTAATAAATGGTTCATTGACCATACGAGGGTATTCTCCCTCTGATAAGTAGCGCCTTCTCGCCATAATAAACTGGAGGTGAAGCTTTCCGAAATAAAAAGAGAACCGGAAATATATCTGAAGGGCAATGCAAAAACGTAACAATACTCCACATACTAACCCTAGAAGCCCATACATAGTAAAGGAAAAAATATAATAAAAAAGGAATTGGATATAAATCAGACACGCAAATGTTTTCGTTAGCACGCAGCAATTTAAAGAGCTCACCTCCGTTTACACTTTCCCTCCCCCCCACCCTCGCAAGAGCTGATGAGTAAAATACCAAAGCAGAATATATCAAACTCAAGGTCAGGAACTTAAAACTGTGTTCATTTCAAAAGTAATGGACATAGGATGCCATCTGGTGGCCTTTGGAAAAACGTTCCAGCTTAAAATGCATATACGCATCACCCGTCCTCTGAATGCAACCTCTAGCGATGCATGGATGGGACGCCCGGCTGTAAGAGACGTTCTTAGGGAATGCGTATATGGGACACCCGTCCTGAAAGGGTTAAGGTGAATTTTTGTCTTGCAGTTCCACACTGAAAAGTAGATTCTGATATGCATCATGTGGTATATAATCCATTGAATCCCACTGACTGTGACTTATGCACACTTCTAGGACTTTGAACAGCCTGTGATGCATTAGCGAAGAGTTGAAGCATGTGGTGGAACCTAAATATCAGAGTATTTCAGGCATGTGACTACATGTGAGATACAGTATCTGAGCTGTTGCAGACATGGTATACAAACGTATGCAGTTTGTCACCAACTGAAACATTTAGGTCATGGGTCATGGAACAACTATCTTGCTAGACACTATCATTTGATGTTGCAGGTGGTCTTTGATATTGTATTGTTGTATTTCAACTGCTATATTTACCATACCTACATAAGACCATGTAAGTAGCAGTCATTGCTGCCATTGGTATCTTTGCAACACAAGCAATCAAACTTCAATAAACTGAACCTGAAAAAGAAAGCATTTTTTAGTAATCTAAAATTTGAATTAGTGAAATTTCTGATATACTGTGCTACTAAGAATTCTATGTATATATATGCAGATGTATTTAACTAAGAAGATGGGAATTATTTTGTACATAATGTGATAATTATTTTAATGCAGTAAAATTTTAGTAGAAAATTGTGTGTATAGTAACAAGAATCATATGGTTGTGGTGGAGAGTTAGATACTGTGTATCCACTTGAAAGTGATAATGAAAATTAAATGTTTTCTTTGTATTTTATTATATGACTTTTTCTTTCAGTGGCAAGCATTATAAAAACAATGTTTTAAAGATGTTATCTTTTTAATTTCTTAAAATATACTCATGTTTTAAAATAAAGAATAAAAGGGAATAATGCTTAACAGCTGAGTTTTATGTTTTGAATTGCATTTTAAAAATTAATTATAGTTTTCAGTAAATCACATTTTTAAATATGATGAAAGAGTACAATTGCTTATATGATCCCAAAATCAATCATGCCAATTACATTATATTTAAGAACTGTACAAAAAATTTGGGATCAAAAAGATAATTTTTTATGTAATATATGTTCTCATAATGTAATTATCATCAGTTATTGTGAGAGCAAGCATTAAATGTTCTTAATTATCTCCCTGATTTGTGATATTTGGCTCTTGTGGACTGTTCCATTGTACTAAAGTCAAATCTCTCTATGAAAGGCAACATTTCAGAAACCCAGAAAAATGTAATGAAGAAATTAGAGGTTGTTTCAGAATTTTACTTCTGTGAAGGCATCCTACAATTGTCTTGAGCATCCCAAGTGGTATGCATAACACTTGAAAATATATTTGGAAAAATAAATATGAGGATATTTTCCCCAGATATCTATTTTTTAACAAATTAAATTGGAAATCGTTTTAACATTTTATGGATTACAGTATTAAATTAGTTTCCAATAGTCATTATTGCTGTTTTTTTTTAAACAAAAAAAAAAAGTGTGATTTTTTTTATATCTGAAACATGCTTTCTGAATAAATGAGGGTTTGGGAAGAAGAATCTGATGTGCATTAAGTGAAGAAATCTATAGTTTTAAATTTAATATTTGATTTTAAGAACTCTAGTTTTAAATTTAATATTTGAAACAAGTTATATCTACTTCTAATTTAATTGTGCATTTATATATTGCCAAGTTCTGTTTCTAAAGTTATTATGCATTATTAACACACAAGTAGCTCACATTTTTTATCAAGTTGAAAATTAAATAACTACACCAAATGCATTCAGAAGTTATCCATGTAAAAACTTATACATTATGATCACGTTTCACGATTAACTTTTATAATAAGTTGGGAGAGCATCAACTTAATCACCTATCAAGAGTCAACATATCCATTTTCACGTGAAGAACTCAAGAATGACAAGTTCCAATTGATATACAGTAGGATTTAATGAAGAAACTATTTACTATATGTACATTATTCAAACACAAAATTTACACGTAGTATAAAATTACCCATCATAAGGCCAAGATTGAATACTTCAAGAACAATATTGTAATTGCTGATTACCACCATGCAGCCAAAAAAACTCATTTCAAGCGTCACTCTCAAGCTAAACTAAAAGAGTTATTACATTCTTTTTCTGCCGCCCGTCACGTGACCTAGTCAGCGACAGACAATAAAAAATTACTTCATTGGAGTAGAAATAATTTCAACAACCCATGTTTAGAGCATTCTGCATACTTTTTAGTACATTTTTAAGATATTCTTCTCATATATGGCCATAGCATATTATCTGGCTATTAGAAAATTTGTGGCTTAGTTCCTGTAAATGATGTAGTTTGTTTTCTATTTTCTGCTCTTCTGAAGCAAACTTTTCCAAGTTGATAGTCTATACAAATTCATAAAGAGCAAACAGTCTGCAGTGTTCCCCAAGTATTCTGAATGAAAGCAAAAATTTTTTTATATCTATGCATTAGCTACATGTGAAAAACCGTTGAACTTCCTGTAGCATTGTTATCTGCTTTCATTTAATGAGGGATGGCTAATTAAGCTGAAGAAGTTTGGTATAAAATTCTGATGTACAAAAGATTATTTTATTAATGCTAGTGAGCAATATTAATGTTATTTCAGTTCCATGAAAGGTCCATAAAGGTTGGGTGTCTTATTCATATTAAGTCAGATATGGCAGCTATTAACAGACTCTGATTTTTAATTCTGTTATTTTGTAATATTGTTGTTATTTTAATTTCTGTAAAGCACTTATCTTTTAAATATTTGCAGCTGTAAGTACATTTGGAAAATCACATTCACCAGATAGTGACCGCAAACTTAAAATGGCTGATCCTACTGAGGCCTTGCAGAAAGACTGGAGGAACTATCAGTGTCATACTTGGCATTTAGAACCAACAGTCAGGTAGTTTCTTTCATCATAATTGCATATTATTTGACTTCATTTCTGTAATGGAACATTTCTGTACTGTAGTTGGCTTTTTATAATCTCTTGAAAATCTAGGTGCTAGCTATTATGGCTAAATATTTTTCTTGTACCCCTTTGATATTAAAAGAAAATATTTTTATTAGGTTATTGTCTTGGGCTGGTAAAGGAATAGAACCTTATGGCGTAGATTATATTCTGCAAAAGTTGGGTTTTGCTCATGCTAGAGTCACCATTCCTAAATGGATGCAAAGGGGATGCATGGATCCACTGGATAAAATTTTAGCTGTAGTTATGGAAAAAATGATTGCTGCTGTGAAAGATGATAAAGATGATAACGCTGCTTGTTCAAAGAAGTAATTTTAAACTATGTGCCATATTATCATTGTTTAAAGAGATTTCCAAAGCAAGATACTAGTTCTTGTCGTGATGTATAGAGATGTGATACTGCTCTTTGTTAAAGTTAATTTATGTTCATGTCTTTGAACGTTGAGTTTTTTTGTTTGCTCTGGTAATATAAGCTGCAATTGTTATTTGTCTGAATTAGAGTTTGTGTACATAAGGTATTAAATATTTATGAACTGTGATGGAGGATTAAATTTTAATATATTTCTTTAAATTTAATACACTGTGTTAATCGTGAAAGTCTGCTTATTGTAACATAATTTATGATGATTTTGATGAAGGATGTTTAGAAATAAAATGTTTCAAATGTGTACAAGATTAAATCAAATGCCTTTAAAATATTTTTTATTAAATTAATCATTAATTTATTGTGTAGAGAATGATTTTAAGTATTTTTACCTATTCGGGAATAACGGATCATAAAGTGAATTTTTATAATCTCTTATGATTGTAAACTGAGATTTGTAAATCTGAGTTTATATAATTTTCTGTTTGATTTTGTAAATTTAGCTCTTCATAGTGTAGTTCAAAATATAAAAACAATTTTTTAAGTTAGATATATTGCTGATATTGAAAAAGCCATAAAATCGGAAGAATCTCGTATAAATGCGAATATATGCTGTATAAAATGCTGTGATGTTAATTTTTTGTGTCCAAAATTACAATTTGCAAAATGTTAAAAACATTGACGAGTAAGATGTTATAAATTCCTGTGACTGTTATCAGTGCATATACCTTAATAACTGTGTGCTAGTATTCTAAAATTCAGGAATTAAACAATGTCAGGAAGGGAATCTTCTAATGCTCTGTAATATGTTTCATATTTTATTTTTTGTTTATTCATTCTTTCCCTCTCCACTATGAGAAAGACAGGAAAAGTATGCTTAGCATATTTCTTGTGAATTATGTTTTATTTCAAATAAGGTGTAAAATGATGCATTTTGTTGGCTTTTATAATATCCAAAGGCTTTCAAAGCTTTTGAAATTGCTCTGTTTCTCAAGTATTTTTAATAGAGCTAATGTGCAACTGAATGCACCTAGTCTTGCAAAATCAAAATGTTTTTTTATTATAGTAATTATTATCTGAAATATATTTACATTATTTTTATTGCAGCATAAAAATCTATTTGCTGTTTTTTCTTTTGTGATTTTGTAAGTCATGAAATGAAGTAAAATATTAAACACTTAGGTATAGTGGATTAAAGAAAAGGGGAGGGACAGTTGTGATTATACCTGACCAGTTAACAAAATTCAGCTTGAGTCTTTCATGTTCCAAAAAAAGCAGTTTGCGATATGTATTAGATTTATGCTGAACATTACTTTTAAATACAGTCAAAAGTCTTTAATCTGGACTCGTTGGGACTTCGGCGATTCCGGATTATAGATCATCAGTTTAAATGTGGTAAGATGGCATTTAGAAATTATAAAATTAAAAATATGAAACCGTAATTTATGAAATAAAGAGCAATTATGATCTAAAGGGTATCAAAATTTACAAAAAAAAAAGGGCTTAATATTTATTTGTTTACTTTATTAAACATTTCTTTCAACGCGCGCATGCGTAAAGCATACATTATGCATAGTCGAAATTAGAAAATTGCAACCAGAAAACTATTTGATGTGTATTCGTGATATTTATAATGACGAGGAATTTGATTTAAATCATATCAAAGATGGAGTACATCAAGATGAAATACTACATTTAGTAAGAAATTATAAGCTGACCACATAGCAGTGTGAAATTGGCTTGATAAACAGATTTTGGAATGGTTAGAGAAACAAAGGATATGCCTTTATCCATTTTTTGTAGCAATTCCACTTTTTGTTTGATGGACATCGAAACGTGCTTTCGCTTTGTAAATCCTTTGGCAGCTCCAGAATTGGAAATTCTTTTTGACATAATTGAAAGTTCAAGCTTACTTTTATAAAATTGCTCTAACAGTCTGCAAAAAATAATAAGCCGGATAAATTCCTCGTCATTATAAATATCACGAATACACATCAAATAGTTTTCTGGTTGCAATTTTCTAATTTCAACTATGCATAATGTATGCTTTACGCATGCGCGTGTTGAAAGAAATGTTTAATAAAGTAAACAAATAAATATTAAGCCCTTTTTTTTTGTAAATTTTGATAGCCTTTAGATCATAGTTGCTCTTTATTTCATAAATTACGGTTTCATATTTTTAATTTTCTAATTTAATAGAAGATTAAGGAACAAGGCAATCTGCAACATTAACTGAAATAGATTTAGCTTATACCGTCCATTGTACATTAAACGCACATGCATAAACATACTATGCTATACATGTGTAAAGGTACTATACATGCATAAAGATACATACTATACATGCGTAAAGGTATGTGCATCGCATGCACAGAAAGTTTGTAGCTTTGAGGTCCGGATTATAGATCATTCCAGATTATATATGTCCGGATTAAAGACTTTTGACTCTATATATTTTTACCTCTGAAAAAACACACTGATTTTTTTTCATTTTTTCATTGTTTTTATTTCAGCTCTATGGCTCAAATTATGTTTAAATACCAGGTTTTGTAAAACTTTCTTCAGCTATTCAACTTTTCTCGCATATTTTGCTGTTCCCTGGAAAAGTGAGATACATTCAGTGTCTGGTTTTATTAACGACTTAATAAAAGGTTGTAGTAATAAACAGAATGTTCTGTTAATTCTGCAATTCAGTTATATAAAAACCTGAGCTGCTCTTATTTGAGGCTTATTTACTCACCGGCTGAATTACGGTTTCACTCAGAAATTGAGAAGTACTGGTGCCCAGCTTTGGTAACCTCTGGCTGAATTATAGCCCTATGTAAATACAAAAGATTTGTATGACAATGTGTGATAATTTTCACTCATTTCTGAAATCTGAGCTAATTTAGCATAACCATAACAAGGGTTTAATAACTCCTTAAAATAATTTAGGTAATGCTAGCAGATTATTGAAGCCTTAATTCTTCCAGCAATTAAAAGTTTTCTTTGGGAAAATAATTATGCTTAAATTATTTAATAAGGAAAAAAAATAACAAATAAAAAACTGAAAGCTTTCAGATTTTACATTACACCCAAAGGAACTTTTTAACCTTTTGTGTGTTACTTTTATTAACACACAAAAGGTTAAAAAGTCCCTTTGTTAAATGTTCTTTGCACTAAAACCCTAGAATTCAATTCAACAGCAATATCACAAAATAATTTTAAAATGACTATATCCTTAGAATTTCCGATACACGATCTCACATGCTGGAGATAAAAATGTTTTTTTTTTTTTTTCCCCCCATAAAGTTTTGCCACTGCTCGCTTTGAAATTGTTGAATTTATTTATAAAAAATTTGTTGGAAGTGTTACAAAATATGAAACCGATAGTAAAACAAATTTCAAATTCGAAATTAGGGCTTCCAGATGCCCATATTCGAAGGAAGATTACGTTATTCAAAATTTGATGGCTCTAGGTACCATTGTTTTATCACAGTGCAAGAAACATACATTCATTAATGCAGATTCTTCATTATTAAATTTCTTTAAATATAAGACAGGGTGATAATATTTGGTGGCAACAATTTGAAAAGGGAACCAACCTTTAAAGTTTTCAATGCAAAATACCAAAACAAAATTAATACCCCTTCTGGACTAATACCCTTTGGGCTAAAAATTATATTACCTTGTATCTCTGCATGGACTGATTTCAAACTGATTTCAGATGCATGCCTTTATTTTAATGTAAATGTCACTCTCTGTAGAGTTCTAAGTATTATTGTAGCTCTGGTCTTATATTATTGTAGCTCTGGTTACACTTTTTTACTTTGTATTAAATGTTTGAATTCATTTTTAAGTTATTTGTATAGTTTGTTTTATATGTGAAATAAATATTTTAAATGTTTTAAATGTTGTATTGTATAATTTTAAAACTTATAATTTAAAACTTGTGTTTATTCTTTGACTTACACAACAAGCTCGGAATTGGGGACCAGTAACAAGTCTTTGGATACTTTTTGGGCTATAAGCTCTTCTGTATAGTTTCAAGGAATTTCTTTCCTTTTATATTAGTAGATGGCATAAAGTGTTACATAAGCATTGGAAATTTAAATAGTTCATATATTTGCTTTACTGTACCCTACATTTATTCCTTAAGAAACCAGTATAATGGATTTTCTTGAACTTTTAAGGTTTATTTCCGTTGTTTTTATATTCTCCAGATGCTTATATTTTTAATATTTTGCACATTATTAACATCAAATAATCATAACTGTGAATTATTAAAAAGCTCAAAAGACAGTAGTTTGTTTATTTATGCTCCTTGCTACACTTTCCCCCCTTCCAAAATGAGAAATATTATTATTTTCATTTAGTGGTTTTTTAAACTACAAATGAAAATCAAAAGTTATTATTAACTGACGAGGATGGAAATCTTTCATATTTTAAATGTGTGTTGCTTATCAACATAATGAAATGGAATGTTTAAAAGTTTATCTGCATTTCTTAATACATTTTGCAACAAGTGTTATCTTTTACAATAACTGTAATAAAGAAAATATTTCTAACAGTATACAGTATGTGAACAGCAAAATATTTAACTGTAGATCATGTATAGCCTGTCATCTGCATCTGAAGTAAAGCATAATGATAATTAATGAAGTTTTGTAATAACATAGACTGCTATCTTCTCCTTGTGTATGCTTTGTTTTTCAATCTTATTTCTTATCTTCAATAAGATTTTAATTTTCAAATGATAATAGACTTTTGAGTAATTTCATATTTTCTAATTTGCAGAATTCTTAAATAAAAAAAACCTGCAGAAACAAAGGCTAGAATTTTCAAAATTGAATTTCTTTGTAATTTTGTTTTCATTTAACAGTGAATAGTTAGTTTTATGAGCTGCCAGCTAGGAATATTAACTGTATAGTATATCTGTATAGATTTAGTGGTAGAGTCTGTGAATCTCCTCTGTAGCATGATCTGTAATATGAAATTTTTAAAAGTTTTCTGCAGAAGAGGGGAAGGACACAGGTTAATGTAATAAATTAAGCTTTGAAAGCATGGGAGATTCACAATTGCTTTCAGTTTTTTCTTCTAATTTGCATATTAATTTTATTTACTGATCTAAAACTGCTGCTCATTAATGATACTGCTTCATGAATTCTTTAAGAACTGTGAGAGTTTTTCATTCTTTTTCTTTAATTTCATGAAGTTTGTCATTACAAATTTAAAATTTTAATATCTGCATCAAATTAATATTGAAATTTTATTGCATCTTGCTTAACATGTAAGGCTACACCAGTGGCCAAGTGGTTACGATTGTTGAATATTGAGAGTTTAGTCTCAGGCAAATGGGTTGGCTGCCTGGTTGATTTTTACAGATTTTGCTGTCTTCAGGCTTACTAAGTCTGTAAGAAAAATTTTCAGAAGAGGTAGTTTGTCTCCTAAAAAGTAAATTCTAAACATGTGGTTAAAATATGTGATTTTCCCATGTGTAAGATTAATATGAGCCAGCTTTTCTTAAAATGTCCTCCACAAAAGCATACCTCTCTTAAGACATATAACCCTTGCTTACTTTGCCATATTCAATAATAACATAACCTAAAATCTTTTTCATTAACTTAGATTCAGCAATGGAACTAAATCTACTTAAAAGCTCTTCTGCATAAAAATGTCCTAAAATTTATCTAGATCGGTTTGTCTAGAGAACTTTTAATGTGGAGATCTGAAAGTGTTTTGACATAATGCCTGGAGAGCAGAGCTTTGGTCTCACCTTCCCAGGCACTATGTCTGGGAAGGAGGGACCAAAACTATGTCTTCCCAGCACCTTTCCAGGTGCTATTTTTGAAAACGGCATAATGCTGTTGGGGATTACATCAATTTTGCCATAGAAAAAAGTGGTGTGATTTCTAACAGCAGTGTAAAGGCTAAAGATTTCACAAGAAATACCACTGACCACTGTCCACTCCCTTAACCCTATCTAAAAAGGATTCATCTGTGTGGACATAAAGCCGCTCAATTTGAAGAAAATTATAATGTATAGTTTCTAGTGCAGTGCCTCCAGTCTGGTCTTAGAACATGTCTTTCTCCTGTAACCCACAGTTCTAGATTCACAAGAACTGATAATGTAAATCTTGAAGGATTCATTGAAGTTGGATAAAATTAAATCTTAGTATTATGAATATGGTATAAAGGAATATGTATCACTAATTGGATATTTATTTGTTTGTTTCTTTCTTTATTTTTGTAAGATGAGTGGTAGTAAAAACGTCAGATAGAAAAATGCGCATTTTTGTGTTTCCCATATGAAGACGAATTTCATATAACAGAGAACTGCTTTAATCATTTCTTAAGTTTAAAACTGAAATCGAGAGGAAATGTCATATAGCAGGTATTTAAATTTAGTTGTCTA